GAAAGATAACCATTATCGGTGGGGAACAAATATGGTGCTTAGACCACATGATGAGACCACGTAGACCGGGGAGGAGGGTGGGGGGGGGGAGTGTGTTAGAATGAATATCAACAACAAACCTCCAGTCATCTCTTTAACAACCCCCCACCCCACCCCCGGCAGTCTCTTACGTCTATCTCAACTCCAGGCAACAGAAGGAAAACAAACCCCCACGTGTGTCTCTTGCCAGCCTCAAATGTTTCTTTTTCAAGAAAAAATCAATAATCAGGAGTCTTAAGAATCCAACCTTTTCAGACAAACTTTAGAAGAGGGCCAATCCACCCCTTGGGAGAGGGTTGTGCCACTTTTCTTCTCTCCAAGACTTCGCTTGGGCTGAAAGCGAGGAGCTTCCAAGAGAATCCCACCCTCAGTTGACTAGAAATGGGTCAAGAATGTACCCCAACTGAGACCAAAGCGTTGGCAAGGACAACCCCGAGCTGGTGAGGGACTGGCATCCTCTTCTTCAGCTGCCCTCCCAAAACCAGTTTGTCTGTTTCGTCCCTGTAAATAGGCCTTTTGTCTCCATGTGCCTGTGACCCAATTTCTAAATCATTATAATCCAAGAAGGCCGGTCACTCCAGAACAAGTTTAAAAAAAAAAAAAAATCAGGGTGGGAGGAAGAAACCAAACTGAACTCTGTGTGTGTGTGTGTGTGTGTGTGTGTGTGTGTGTGTGTGTGTTTATTTGTGTGTGTGTGTGTTTGTTTGCTCTGGCTTGAACGCCACAAACCGCCCTGCCTGCAAAAAGAACCAACCAGCCATTTGAGCTGGCAAGCAGCCATGCCTCATGTTGCAGGTAGTTTCTTTAAATCCCAGCCTTGTCCAAGATCATCTTTCAAGCCTAACCCAAATCCCAGGGTTTTCGCTTCAAAGAAAATAACTTGCCAGGCTGGAGATACACCCAGGATATTAAAACTGGATTAAAAGACATCAGATGCCAGGGAGAAAGAAAGAAAGAGGCATTTGAAGGAAAACCTTCTCATTACCTGCACTCCAAGAACTTGTGCAACAGAATTTTATTTCCCGTTCTAAATCCATCTATCCCCTTTCACCAAGGGGCATCCAAGCTTTCCAACTTTAACCCACTTTGGGGGCAGTGGTTGTGTTTTTAAAGCCCCTATGTGAAATCTTCTCTCCTGGCCTCCCATTCTCTTTGATTTGTTCAACGTGTGGGACAAGTGAGCAGGGAAACCCTGTTATAAGAAGGGAGGGAATTTCCCTGCTCGCTGAATTAACTGGTTTCCTGGGTCCTCCACGAGGCTGGAACCATAAATTAACCAAAGGAGCCACGTTCGACAAGCAAAAAATAACCCCAGGTTAACTAGCATTGCTCAAATGTTGCGTTTGGTGTAATCTTAACCAGATGCACCGTTGCAATTCTGTCCCGCTTGACAATTAAATGTTTTTAATTTGATTTGACATGTTGGGTAAAACTCCAGCACCTGGGTTTTCAGGCCATGGTTTAGAAGTGAGTGTGTTGTGCAAAGTTGGTCCATTGTGGTAGAATGCGTCCTCAGTTCACATAATGCAGAAACCACTAGTTTGGAGTAGAGAAATTAACAGGCATGGAAGTTGCGGAGAACAACAATGACTCCTGCTTTTTGGGGTTAAACAACCATCCATCCATCCAATTGTCCTGATTGTAAATTGTAGGAGGTGCAATATGGGCACAATTATTTCTGGAAGGTCTTGTAACATCAAGGCACATCCAGTCCACAGTGAGATGCGACAAATGGCGCCTATTCAGACAGAAAAGGGAGCCCCTGTAGGGTTTTCGGATGTGATGTGTTTTTGCTTTGCTCCTGGCGAAGAAACGGCCAGACAAGCTGTGAGTTGAGATCTTGCAGTCAGGAAAAAACAACTGCACAGCGGATTGTGCGGTTGTAAAAACAAAGGAAGATGGGGGTGAGGCCAATCGACGGAGAGGCCAGAAGATTCAAACATGATTTCCCTCCATCAAGTCTCTTCTACAATCACTGCAGTCCCCAGAATTCTTGGCAGGGCGCCTCACTTTTCTCCACCACAAATCGGCCTGATCTGCAGTTCTTGGCAACTCACTTGTGATTCACACTCGCCTGCGGGGCGGAGGGTGGCGGAGGCCACGCTGCTGCGGCCCACGGATTCCTCCCCCCCCCAACCCGTGCGGAGAACTTCAAAAGGGCTTCCCGGGGTTTCAGAAGCTTCCCGTCTTTTTATCGATGCCCAAATCAGGGTGGGAAAAGGACAGTTGAGGTGCCCAACATGTTCTCAGCAAGCCGACACAGAGGGATTGAGTTGGTTTTCCCATCACCTGAAGAGACTCTTGAGTACACAGTGAACCAAACCTGGCCAGGTGCATTGAGCAGGAAAAAAGAGGGCGAGCGGGGACTGTGTGTGTGCGTGTGTGTGTGTGTGTGTGTGTGGAGCTTTTGCTTGCACAAATTATGTTTTGTACCAGAAGAACCAACAGCAAGACAGTCAAAAAGACTCTTTACTAAGCACCAAGTAACAAGATCAAGGACACAATGTTGACAGCCCGTTTCTTAATTCCCCGTGATCTTACGCCGGTACTGCTTCACCAACTAGCTGACCGTGGGCCAAACCTGGCCTGGAAACAATACCGGGTTTGGCCCAACAGGCAAGAAATTGGCCCATCCGTGCCGATCAGAGATCAGCCAATTATCTCCAGGGCCGAGGCCATCCTTGCAAATCTGCGGCTAAGCCGATCAGCCCAAAAAAAAAAAAAAAAGGGGGGGGGTGGGTGGGAGACAAACAGCCCACACGTCATGTGCGCACACACGGTTGCTGGGCAACGCCAGGACCGGCTGCTGCGGATTCTGTCGTAACCTAGCAGCAAGGTGGGAGCCCATGTGGTTGCTGAGCAACGGCACATGACGCGCCCCCCCCTCCCCAATCGCGCGTGCAAAGGCCTCCCTTCTGTCAGCCTCCCTCCCCGACCAGCCAGGTGGGTAAACGGCTGCAGCGCCTCCAAAATCGAAACTGGCTCCCGCTGGCGGGAGGAAGACGAGGAGGAAGCAGCTGCAACCGACCCGGCACCACGTGGTCTATCGCCACCTTTTGTGCGTTGCATGATACGTGGCCCCATTGTTTCCACCCGGTTTTAATCTTCCGAGGGGCCGCAGCTGTAGGCCTTGTCGAAATAAATCAGCACAGTGCCCACGTGGGCATTTAGATTAGATTAGATTAGAAGGTTTATTTATATGCCGCCCTTTTCCCTGGGGGGACTCAGGGCGGCTCACAATCCAAAAAGGAAAGGAGGGAAAACAGACTTTTTACATATAAGACAATACATAATTAAAACACACAACATTCATACCATTC